TTTCTTCAGGAAATTTATTAGTCATGTATAGGATCTCTATTAGAATTTACTTTCTAAAATTTGACCATTTTGAATATTTGCTCCTTTTTTTTCATTTCATTTTTTTTTTTATCTTTCAGATTCATTAACATAGGCAGTTTGTCCTTTAGGGACTTCAATACTAATAGGAACATTTGCATCTAGTATGTGATATTTATTTATCTTCGTCTAGATCGGTGAATATATCTGGCATCTAATTTTCAATATTTTGTAAATGAATTATCTTTTAAACTTTTTTAAATCACACTGCCTTGAATGGGGATTAAAATATAATAATGATAATTCTTTTACAATTAATTATTCTTCTAGCTAATTATTTTCTCCTCGTAATATCGGGATCCATAATAATTAGCAAATTTGGCATTTGATAAATGTCTCATAAAAAAAATTCTAGACATTCAACTATAAACAGAAATTTATACTTGATATATTTTTCAACTTCCTTTAAGGACCCATCTTAGTGCGTTATGGTGGAGCAATTAGAATATATACCGCACATTTAAAAATTTATTAATGGTATTTGGTTCTTGAGCCAAAATCAATTATAAAGGGGAGAACATATTCTTCTTCGAGCCAAAATCAATTATAAAGGGGAGAACATATACTAACGTTAGTGCGCCTGAGCAGCCAGGACCAGTAAACTGCTATACATATAATCAACGCCAATTCGCCCCATCTTAGTGCGTTATGGTGGAGCAATTAGAATATATACCGCACATTTAAAAATTTATTAATGGTATTTGGTTCTTGAGCCAAAATCAATTATAAAGGGGAGAACATATACTAACTTATGGCCTGATGCAAGTAAATGCTATTACATATAATAGCATGCCCCTCTACAATAATAGGGAGCTTTGTTCGCATAATAATTTTCTTGCAATTAATTGCAATCATTTAATAAATGATTATACTGAATCACTTTGAGCATAAATAAAAGCGACTACTGGTTGCCCTATAATTATAACACATATCATAATCATTAAAAGCTTGATGTGTAAATTCACCATTATTCTCAAGATAAATTAGCTTAATAGCATAAATTGAAAATTGTGTGTTTAATCAAATTATTTGCACAAATAATCTTGCAAACTTCAGGTTGCAAGTTAATAATAATATTTGCAAACTCCAAATTGTAAATTAATAATCATGTAACTATCTTTTGGATGCATCCATACAATATCCAAATAGTCCACATGATGGATGAATTAATCAATAATTTCGTTTTATATATTCCAGAAAATGCAAACAGTTCAATTTGAACTTTAGGTGATTACTCAATAATTAATTTGTTTTGAGGACAAACTAAGCATGAAAAATTCAATAGATTTGAAGAAACTTCTTATTCTTCAATAAATATTCACATAAGGATAAATTTCCTTTTCCGCATCGTTATTGATCGGATGGTCCAACCGATCATGCCAAATAATAAAGTACTTGAATTTGTAAACTTCTGATGTACAATCATATTTATTTACATAATTATCTATACAGATTTTAATGAATATATTTGGAATAATTCATTATGCATAAAACTCATCCCTTATAGGTAGTAATACTTGTTCTTCTGGAACCTTTAAATATTTTTTACAAATCAAAGTCAAATTTGTCTTTCAATATTTTTTGTTGTATAAACACAGTACATAATCAATATCCATATATGCCACATTATTTGTACCATTTCTGGTGGTAAAATTTAGTTTTAATTATGTGGCCACAATAATTGCAAAGATCATTACTTTAACTGTGATCTTATTGATATTCTCAATGACAAGTATATTTTTGTCATTATTCACGCCCAATATAATATATTATTAAGTGAATGCATCAGATCTAGTTGGATAGACATCGATATACCCATATATATGTTATTCCATTCACTTGAGGGAATGGAGCAAAATCCAGTTGGGCGGCCTCATAATCTTTATTAAGATCTCTTTATTTTGCTAAATGATAAAAATGACATGAAATAAATTCAAAATATATATTAAAATCTTCTCTCTCGATATTGCTATTTTACGAGCATATTTGAGGTATAAATATCATTGACAATTCTAAATCAATGGATAATATAGCTCTAAATATTGTAACAACAATATCTTAATTTTATTTAAATAAATCAATTCTTAAAATTTGTACCATATGAATAATATATACTAATATATAATGATAATAAAATAAGCCATAGATAACATATATGTCATTATATAATAATTATTATAATAATAAAACAATAACCTCAATACTGCAGAATTATAATCATTTACAATTTTTACGAGCTTCATATCGATTGCATCCATTCATGATGATGCTTTGATAATTGTACCTTTCTTTCAAATCATTCCAAAAAAATAAATGGACATTTGATTTTCAAATATTCAATAGGAGAAAAATATTGCCTTGGAACTATATTAATTAGATTTTCGGTTTTTATTCTCGATTGTGTCTCCAAAATCTATTGCATTCAAAATATATTCTGTCACCTTTAAATAATTCTTGCCCATAATATATAAGATGCTGCAAATTCATAATTTATGATGAGCAAATATTATAATAAAATAAAATAACTATACTGATTAGATAATAAATTAGAAAAATTGAACAATTATCATATAAGATTTAACATGACATGTGATATTAAAAATTAGATCAAAGAAATAAAATTCAGTATCACATAAATCAAAAACATATAGTATTGCATAACATAGAAATCTAATTAGAAAATTATTTTCCATAGTTAAGAGCCAGTTAAAATTAGAGTTGAAATTCCCGTATGGATGAATAACTACAATAAATTAATTGAATTATAAATGAACCAGAAAATAGAAAAATAAATAAATAAATACCTCCATCATCATAAATACCTTAATGATGTTGTTACCCTCCACTTAATATATTACCTCTGTTCCATAATACTTGTCACATTTGAGAAAATAATTTATTCTAAAATACTTGGCACATTTGTAGTTTCAATTAGTAATAAATGTCTTTTTTTCATATTTACCATTTGTATATGACCAATAATTATTACTTCAATTTAATGATTTTCCTAGAAAATTAGTATTAAATTAAGAGTAACATAGTCAATTTATTCAATAATTTATTATAATTTAGACAAATTTAATTATTTTTTTAATAAATATGAAATTTCAAATGTTTCAAATATTATTACAAAACAGAGATAGTAAATAAATAAAGGAGACGAAGTGCATGGAATTAAATGGTTCACTAAACCCTAAACTTGTTGGCTTAAACTTCTTGAGCTAAACCATACAAGATCTGGTGCTACTTCATCCGACAAATGTCTTGTGGTTACCGCTTGTCCACAGGACACCATTAATAATTGTAGCAAGATGCTTATAGATACTTTGTATTCGTTTTTCTTTTTTTTTTTTTTCTTATAAATTAAATTTAATTTAAAAAAACTAAAAATATCATAAGAAACGGATGAACACTTGACCATAATTAATCATGGTAAAATAAGAAGATATAGAAAATTACCTTTCAACATGAATAAATTAAAATACTCAAAACTTTGGATGTTGATATGCTCTCTTTAATCGCAACCATGTTATAAAATAATAGAAAAATAAAGAAAGAAATAAAAAGAAAATAGAGAGAGAATACGGGTCATTGATATTGATGAGAAGCCACACACACAAATATATATAGGGTATTGATATTTGATGAGCCAAGCCAACACCAAATATCACTATAATATATACTATATATATATATATATATGTATATAATATATAGTTCAGCACAGTGAACTCAAGATAGAGTTCGCAATAAAATTAAAAATAACAACCTCTTCTAGCCATATGGACATGTTACTCTCTTCTTTCATAACAAATCAAATGTAATTTAGACCCCTTTGCCACCTTTAATCATTATGTCCAAATTAAGTAACTCTTGTCTACTATAATGGAACCGCCCGAAAATAAAAACTTTAATCTGATATAAATGAGTGTCAGAGAGAGTGTATCTAAGATAAACCCTTGGTAAAAATTGCCCATTTTACTCCTTAATGTTTCAAAATGACTTGCATTTATAGACCAAAAAAAAAACTATAAACCGACATTATTTGTGACAAAGGGAGTTAACGCTGCGCTAATATTGTGCCTCCTGCGTGGAAGCATCCAAAAAATTCATACAATGTCACGTCGCTGCCAAGCAACTCAAATTCATACATGCTTCTGTTGTGCACAAGTCAACTTTAAATAATCAAACTCCAATTCATCGGAGTGCAATAAAATTTTGCATATAAGAAACGGACTCATTTCCATGACCAACTTTAGATTAGCTTTAAACCTAATTTATGGCAGTATACGCAAACACACGTAATTGAACAAGCTTTGCTCTTTCCTCATCACAGTCGTAAACAAATTAAATAAGATTCGCCCACCATAAAAACTTCCCAAGCAACCCAACTCAAGAAGGTGAAAAAAAAAAAAAAAATAAGAGTACAATTATCGGTACGATGTTATATATATAGTTACACAAGTGAACTCCAAGATAGAGTTCGCAATAATTAAAAATACAAACTTCTAGCCATATGGACATTTACTTCTTTCATAACAAATCAAATGTAATTTAGACTTTGCACTTTAATCATAGTCCAAATTAAGTAACTTTGTCTATATAAATGGAACGCCGAAAATAAAAACTTTATCTATATAAATGAGTCAGAGAGAGTGTATCTAAAGATAAACTTGGTAAAAATGCATTAATTACTCCTTAATGTTCTCAAAATGACTTGCATTTATAGACAAAAAAAAACTATGCAAACCGACATATTTGTGGACAAAGGGAGTACACGTGTATATTGTGCCTCCTGCGTGGAAGCATCTCAAAATCATACATGTACGTGTGCCAAGCAACTCAAAATCATACATGTATCTGTGTGCCAAGCAACTTTAAAATATCAACTCCAATTCATGGAGTGCAATAAAATTTTGCATATAAGAAACGGACTCATCCATGACCAACTTTAGATTAGCTTTACCTAATTTATGGGCAGAACCAACAAGTAATTGAAAAGCTTTGTCTTTCTCATCAGTCGTAACAAATAAATAAGATTCCCGCCCACCAATAAAACTTCCCAAGCAAACCCAACCAGAAAGGTGAAAAAAAAAAAAAAAAATAAGAGTACAATATCGGTACGATGTTGGCACATCTTCACGACATAATTCAATCAAGCTACAAAATTCTCTAAGTACAGATAGCCAAAGCAACAGCAGCTAAAGCAATCCTACTTTTGATCATAGTTTTCACGACAGCAGTCCCATGAGTTCATATGTATAAGCTATTGGTGTTTGTTAAGAAGCACCTGACGCTGCGGCAGCCATGTACATGTTCTGATCCTGATTTGGTGCCATTGGATACCCGTATCCACCATAGGCTTGCCCGCCAAAATATGCACCATTCCACTGACTATGATGATCCCCTCTCCACTGTCGAACACGCGCAACAAATAAAATTGTTTAAAAGATTAATTAGGTCGCATGAAACAATATAAATAAGTTGGTTACTAATGATGTAAAATAATCCCACATGTGGAAAATAATCCCACATGTGGAAAAGGGAGAGAGAGAGAGAGAGAGAGCAAACAAATGCCAAGGGTTGCTTTATTTGCGAATGACAGTTTTAACATAACAAGTTAAATCGCATTATTTGAATTGAGACTAAAGCGTTACAAGAACATAAAGAAAAAACTAGGAAGCTGGATGCTGGACATGGATAGACTTCAATGTTAGTTTCAAATAAAATGAGCAATGATAAGTCTACAAGCAAATGCAGAATATTTTTGTATCGTTTAATTGCAAGGAAAGAGATGTGTCCAATCCCATCCTGCAACAACCATATCATTCATGCAAGTCACTGAACCATGCAGAATAGAAGTTTATCTTTGATGAGAAAGAGAGGAGAAGGCGGAATTATTCTAGTTATGATGGAACTAAAGAATACATGCTTTGGAGTCAGCACAGTCACCAAAGTTTACCTGCTTGTTTGCTGGACTGCGGCCCCAGGAAAGACGAACTGTCTGCTTGCCAATTGTTGTCCCATTCAAGCTCTGCAGTGCATCTTCAGCATTCTTTCTGTAATTGAAAACAACAAATGTAGGTCAACACATGGCCACAAAAAATAAAAGTTAATGTGCAGTTTTCTACCATTAAAAATATTTCTCATCACAACATCTAAATATAATAATAACATTCCTTTACAATTGTCTTTAACATTAATGGGCTTTTATAATAGGGCATCCATTGCTAACAGCAATGACCTGATGCAAAATTTAATTGCATAAAAATGTAGATATACAGTGTACCTATTTGCAAATTGCACGAAACCGCATCCTTTGCCAACTGGAATTTTCACAGACACAACTTCACCAAACTGGGAAAAAGGCTGCCTGAGATCCTCATCACTGATATCAGAGTCGATTCCTCCGACAAATATCTGCAACAAGACATGAATGAGAAGACTCATAGGGTTGCAAAAATGTAACATAAGAAAGCCAAACTCACAGTTGTATTATTAGAGTCTCCATCAGATTGGGATCCTTGGGCAATAGCACCATTTGGAGCATGCCCACCAGCTAACACCAAAGCTAATGGAAAGGAAATGAAAAAGATTTAGCTTTTAAAATCGAAACTAAATAATAAATATAGGAAGATACTGGGCACATAATAGTTTTAGCAAGTAGTCCCACTGTCCACAAATAACAGTCCTCACTTACATTTGGAGATATCCAGAACAGGTTAAATTAAAAAAATATTGTGTTTCCAAACATGCTTGTACTCAAAAGAGGCATGCCTTTCAAAATGATATGCATCAAAATTTATAAGGGTAAAATAGTAAAAGGAACACAAGCTCTTAATCTTTGTGCAAAAAAAGAATATGGACTATTACTTTTTTGGACAGAAAGAGTAACAGTTGTTAGCTCTCAAGATGAGCATATAAGTGAAACAGAGGGAGCCAATTTTGATGAGTAAGATTTTTTTTTTTTTTTTTAAGAACAGCCAGAGATAGCACATGCAAAATGGTGATTCCGCTTAATAACTCCTGGCCATGGTGAAGAGATATATAAAACGTCAACAAATATAGAAAGCCTTCTAATTCTATATCCCAATCTTTATATCTTTGGAGACCCAAAGAGTTTTCATACATATCTCCACCTTGAAAATGGAGACAAATGACAAGATTGGGACATAGCCCCTGCAATATTATCCATTTAATGAGGTGGAGGTAATGTAGTAAAAGTTCATTAAGGGACATAATCCCTGCAGTCCAAGTAGAGGACAGTAACTGCAAATCATGCCACCATAACTAACTGAGACAATTTTAAAAATAAATACACACACATGTAACCTTATCATAGGCCATTTGTCTAAAGATCCAGCTGTGAGATAACCAATTTAAACTTGTAATAAGGGACAGTAAGCACATTCGAAACCATAAAACAAAATCTTCTATAGACATTGTTATGGCAAAAAATTTATTTGTATTAGCGCATATGGGATCATTTACTCCATCCACTGTCAGCATTTTAAAAACTAGATCTTCTATAGACAAGATTACAGTTTTATGGAGATCAAGGATGTAGTTCAAGCAACTTCAGAACCATTGTAAGCACTTTGTTAGGATACCTTAATGAATTTTTCAAATATGTATTTGATATGAACATGTAAGGATACTGCAATGAATGAAAAGATATGTAACAAATTAAGATGGTTTTATGAACTTCTTTCCATAATTGGTTGGGATAAGACCTATTCCTATGAGGGATCATGAAAAAGAAGCACGCATTAAGAAACAAGAAATTACTGGCACTTGAGGTGCCATAATTACAGGCAAAGTAATCAGTGTGTCGGCAGAAAGCAGAAAATTAAGAGGCACTGCAGAAGTGAGGTGATAGATCCTCTAAATAAGGGACTAGTCTTCTAGGTAAAAAATTGCAATTATGCTGTATGCACATGGGCAAACACTTCCCAATAATGACCAAGAATTGGGAAGAAGTAAAACTAGTAAATTCATGTCTCCAGACCTATAATGCAGGTAGGCAGCATAATGATTTACCTTGTGAAGAGTACTGTTGTTGATATGCAGATGACTTCTTGGGAGTTGCAACACCTATGCGCATTGGCCTACTAGAGCAATAAACACCATTCATCTCTGACATGGCCCTTGACCTCTCATTTTCATCACCAAACCTAACAAAGCCATAACCTTTTGAGCGGCCAGTATTTAGATCAGTGACAACTTTTGCTCCCTTGACAGAAGAGTATTTACTGGCAAAGGTTTCCTGCAACATAGAATCAGTCACGTCTGTAGCCAAATCTCCAACAAATATTGATAGATCAGAACCAGAATCTGCTCTCCTATCACCCGCAAAGCTTGCCCAATTGAGGCGGAAAGGCTGCTCTGTGTTTGGCATCACAGAGCCATTATAGTTCTGCAAGACTTTCTCAGCTGTCGCATGTGAATGGAACTCAACGAATCCATACCCTTCTGACTGACCAGTTTGCTTATTGCGTATAACTTTGACGGTGGAAACCTGCAGGTACAACGAAACCAACATTAGGAAGCAAAAGGCTAACTAGGCAAGTTTTGTGTGAAAATGGATACTTGTTTGATGGGGTTTCAATTGTGAAATGAATTGCTCACTAGAAAATGTTACGATTAATTGTCTGTGGGAATCGAACGGCTTTCCTTATAAATATGTAATAATCCATCGTACCTTTGCTCCATCTATTATAGAAGGAAAACAATTAGGAGTTCTTAGGATTCTTTTTTGGATTTGTTATAATTTTGCATAGATTTATGGATCACCAATTAATTTTTGTTTTTTTTTTTTTTTTTCATTTTGTTATATGTTTTATATAATGATATATAGTTGGGTCAAGTTCACATCTCAAAAACTATATATTTCATTCCACTAAACACTAAACCCTATGAGCAAATATACATTAAAATTAAAAAGTTGATCCAGACAGGAGTAAGATGTGTGCCATGTATGCAACAAATGGGAAAGTGATATTTTGATCAACCAGAATGGTACTTGTTTGAAATAAGAATGGTTCTGTATGTTTGGAACTTTGCTCAATATTACTTTATTGGAACACATGGTTCATCACTCAAAAGGGAAACACTTTAGTTCCATCAAAATTTTGACTTAGAAACAAGTTCATGAAAGTAGAAGCTTGACAAATTTAAAGTAGACTCCCTTCATACCATAATAATGAACTCTAAATCAAGTAACTTCACTGAAATCCAACAAGTAGGAACCATAAAGAAATAAATATATCTTGAATAATCCAAAACACAACAGTAAATTAAAATCCTTCCATTTCCTTTTCTTTATTTCAGATCTTGGGGATGCTTCAATGACCCACAAACTTTTTTAATGAAACTTGTCCAAAATGTATATGTTTCAATAACCCACATTTATGTATGTCCTAAAAAAGCTAATATTTGAACCAAAGCAATCAACAAAGAAAAAAAAATGGAATGAAAATCTCAACTAAGAATACATAAACTTAAATCCACAAGTAAAAAAATAACCTCCAAGCTAATATTAGAGCAAGAAAGAAATCAAAATCCTGCAATAAATCCATAATTCATAAAACAAGAAATTAATTTCTTCATCTTTTTTTGGGTATACCTCGCCTGTATGAGAGAAACAATTATGTAGATAAGGCTCATCCATCCAATTAAGCAAGTCACCAATCCATATAGTCTTGACATCCTCCGCTGCAGGAAGCTGTGGTTTCTGTTGTTGCTGTTGGTAGTTTTTATAGTGCTGTTGTTTTTGATATTGCTGGTGTTGTTGATAGTAAGCCATGTAATGGTGCTGTTGTTGTGGATACATCATCATCTGTTGCTGCATCATCACCATAGCCGCTGCTGGATACTGCATAGCCGCCATCCATGGTTGCTGCTGCTGGTGCTGCTGAACATGTGGGATCCATTGCTGCTGCTGCTGCTGTGTAGATGCTGGATTCAGATCAGGACCGTTGGTTTGCTGCATCTTGATTTGATCTGGTCAATAAACCTCTCCTCTTTACCCCCTTTCTGTTTTACTGCTTCAAATTTCTTACTCCCTACGAACAGAGAGAAAGGGAAACAGAGAGAGAGAGAGAGAGAGGAAGGGGAGAGGCTTGAAAGGAAGAAAAAATGGTTGATAAGTGATTATTTAAAGGGAGGCGTTTTTTTTTTTTTTTTTTTTTTTTTTGCTGGATTCAGATCAGGACGTATAGTGTTTGCTGGCATTCTTGATTTGATCTGTGTCAATTTAAACCTCTCCTCTTTTACCCCCTTTCTGTTTTACTGCCTTCAAAATTTCTACCCCCTACGAACAGAGAGAAAGGGAAACAGAGAGAGAGAAGAGAGAGAGGTTAAGGGAGAGGCCTTTGAAAAGGAGAAAAATGGGTTGATAAGTGATTTATTTTAAGGGAGTGCGTTTTTTCTATTTTTTTTTTTTTTCTATTTTATAGAGTTTTTTTTTTTTTTTTTTCTATTTTGAGTTGAGGGTTTTAAGAGTTTTTAGACCTTTTTTTATTAATAGGGCCCACACCTCGGTTGCAAGTTGCAACGTTTGTTTGCCGTCTATAATCAGGTTTCCGGTGGGGTCTTTTACTGACGTGGACGGCTCGGATGTGACGGACGTGTGGGATAATGGGTTTGGTCGTAGCTTTTGGTTGGTAAACAAATTTGAAGTGCGATGTGAGATTGAATGGAAGTTATTTTAGCTGTAGCATTAGGGCATCCGTATAGGTGAAGGCATTTCATTTCCCCTCCTTGTAAGAAGTTTTGAGTTTGAGCCTCTCACGTAAAGTCCCTTTAAACATTAAAAAATGAGCACTTTAACCATTAAGGATAGTGATGACGGACAAAAAAAAAACTTTGGCATTAGAGTTAGATGCTTAATAATTATAATAAAATATAAATATTTTTTAAATTAATAGATCCACCCCCATTTTGTCTTTCTTCTTAACAAAATACTATATAAATAATTTTCACTTTTTTATAATTACTAGTCTTTTTGTGATATGCATTACACGTTTACTATACTCATTATTTGTACTCGTTTAATTTTTTATTATATAATATTAAAGAACAATTTTTATTTAAATTAAAATAAATACTGTTTATTTACATTACACTTTACTCTAAAAACTACTTGTAATATTGATTTTATGTACTTAATTCTATTTTATATAATGAAATTATCTCAAAATAAAGTTCAACCCAACCCCTAATTGTATATAATGTTTATTTACATTACACTTTACTCTAAAAACTACTTGTAATATTGATTTTATGTACTTAATTCTATTTTATATAATGAAATTATCTCAAAATAAAGTTCAACCCAACCCCTAAATCTAATTTTATATAAACTAAATTATAGAAAAATATAAATATAAATTTATTTTATTTTAAAATATAAATTAAGAAAATAAAAATTTTCAAATACTTAATTATGTGTAGATTTATATTTACAAATTAATTTATAAAAAAATCTTATCAAATTGTAAAAAATTCAAAAGTCAGTTCTAGTCTAGATATTTTAAATTACAATCAAAGATGTGTTATGAAATAAATGGATGTCTTATATTAGCTAGAAGTCTTTATTCTTTATTATTGTGAATTTTATCTTCCTGATTGGTGTAAGAATTTATTACGGTTCCATTTATGTAACTATATATATGTGGCTTCTCATCAATAACAATTACACTCTCGTATTCTCATATTCTCTCTGTTCTCTCTTTATTTCTCCCTATTTTTCTATCATTATATAACACGTTATAAGCACCATTCATTTTACCACTATGATTTTATTCTCCTGCTTTGATTTTTGTTCTAATCGCAAATTGCTTAAAAAAAATATATCTTTTGTTCAAATTGCTTAAAGAGAAGATAACTAATGATTTGCGACAAGCAAACGTAAGGTTTGTGTGTTTAAGTTTATTTACATCTAAAAGGTAATTTTATTTTTATATCTCCATAATTATTTCAATATTATTCACAATTTTGAAAAGAAAAAAAAAATGATTAGTACGAATTATTAATAATTGGCAAATGATGAAATAAGATGTGTTTTGTTTGATATTATTTGGCAATTAACTGTTTCTGTAATTGCTTCCATTAACAATTATCCATTTGTGCTTTTGTTATTTGTTGTCGTTTCCTATGCTTTGCTACATGACGATTAATTTGAAGAAATTAACAACTTTGAAAAGAGTTAGCTACATTCATATTTCATCTACCCATATCTATATTTGAATATAATTAAGCTACTTTGATGGGCTAAAGATTCTATGTGGTTGATGGTATATTATTAAATTTTAGTCTGTCAATCACGAACCTGTTTTTAATTTTGCTTTTCAAAAAAAAAAAAAAAAAAAAGAAATTGCTTGTCGTTTTTCACAAGCTTTAAATACAAGTCCTAGCGAAGCTTTATTATTATTTCAATGCTTATTGATAATATGTGATTATTTCATAGCTTTCAATGCTTATTGATAATATGAAAAAAAAAAAAAAAAGAAAGAAATTGCTTGTCGTTTTTCACAAGCTTTAAATACAAGTCCTAGCGAAGCTTTATTATTATTTCAATGCTTATTGATAATATGTGATTATTTCATAGCTACGATCTGTCAAATTGGTTATTATATACATTTATGATGGTCTGTTACAAACAATTTCAATGCTTTAAATATGTGAAATTTGGTAGCTGCATAAGTAATATTGTTTTTCATAAAAAAAATATTATTATATAAATAATACAGTATAATTGTTCTGGAGTTAATAATATATTAATGTAATCTGATGATTCTAATGGACCTACTGTTTTTATGATGCCTAAGAATGATATAATATGTCTACATGATTTTTATGAAGAAAATTTTAGTTACATAATTAAATACTTTTGTTATATCTTCTTGTATAATATAATTATTTTATTTTGTTATATTATTTTCATCTCGTCAAGTATTACAAAAACTTGAATTTATAACTTTTGATATTATGGACACAAATTATTTATTATGAATAAGATGTTATGGATCTTGCAGACAAAAATCAAAGGTAGAAATCAAGATCTAATCAAAATAATTCAAAGGCAATAATTTTCTTCTATCGTATATTTGATAATTAAATATCCGTTTGTTCTTTGAAATGGTTTGAAAGAAATGTACAATTATCAAAGATTCATCGTGAATGGATGCATTTATCGTTGCAAAGCTTGAAAAAACTTGTAAGTTATTTTAATTTTACAATATTGAGGTTATTGTCTTATTATTATAGTTATTGCTATATATTAACATATATTATCCATGTACTACAAATTTTGAGAATTGATTTATTTTAAATATAATTAAGATATTATTGTTATTATATTTGAAGTCATATTAGCCTTGTCTGAAATTCTCAATGATATTTATGCCTCGAATATGTTCTTGGAGTAGCAATATCGAGAGAAAAAAGATTTTAAGATGTACTTTAGATTTATTTCGTATCCTTTTGTCATTGAGCAAAATAAAGAGCTTTTAATAAATATCATGAAGCTCGCAAAACTGGATTTGCTTTATTCACTAAAATGAATGGAATAATATATGATACTGGACATGAGAATAATGAGATCCACCTAACTAGATCTGATGCATTCCCTGAAGTGAATGCAATAATATATTATATTGGGCATGAATAGTGATAAAAATATACTTGTCATCGAGAATATCAATAAAATCACAATTGAAGTAATGATCTTAACAATTATGGTGGCCACACAATTAAGAATAAATTTTACCACCATAAGGGTTACAAATAAGGTGGCATATAAGATGTTGGTTATGTGCTTGTTGTACACCAAAATATTGAAAGGCAAATTTGGCTTTGATAGTAAAAGAATATTTAAAGGCTCTAGAAGAGCAAGTATTGCCACTTAAAGAAATGAATTTTATGCATAATGCATTATTCCAAATATATTCATTAAAATCTGTATAGATAATCAGTTAAATAAATATGGTTGTGGACCAAAAGTTTGCAAATCCAAGTACTTTATTAATTGGCATGATCGATTGAACCATCCTGATCAATAATGATGCAAAAAAGAAAATTTTATCCTTATATGGATATTTATTAAAGAATCGGAAGTTTCTTCAAATCTGTTGAATTTTTCATGCTTAGTTTATTCTTAAAGCAAATTAATTATTGAGCACTCACCAAGAGTTCAAATTGAACTGCTTGCATTTTCTGAAATATATAAAGTGAAAATATTGATTAATTCATCTATCACGTGGATTATTTGGATATTGTCCAAAAGATAGTTACATGATTATTAATTTGCAACCTAGAGTTTGCAAATATTATTAACTTGCAACCTGAAGTTTGTATTATTATTTGTGAAAATAATTTGATTAAGAATACAATTTTTAGATTTTGCTATTAAGTTAATTTATCTTGAGAATGATGGTGAATTTACAAATTAGGCCTTTAATGATTGTAGCATGTGTTGATTGAAATAATTATAAGGCAACCAGTTGTTGCTTTTATTTATGCTCAAAATGCTTAGTAGAAACATTTGTTAAATAATTGCAACTAATTACAAGTTTTATTATGAAAATGAAGCTCCCTATTTTTTAGAGGGACATGCTATTAAATTTAATAGCACTTATTCGCATCAAGTCAATAAGTTATTATAAGTTATCCCCTTTATAATTGATTTTTGGATCAAGAACCAAATATTATCCATCCAGAAATTTTAAAATGTGCGACGTATGTTCTAATTGCTCCACCACAACGCACTAAGATGAGTCCTCAAACGAGGTTGGAAAATATGTTGGGTATGAATTTACATCTATCTATCTAGAATTTTCAAAAATAAGAAAGTTATTTATGGCCAAATTTGCTAATTGTTATGGAGCCCTACATTTATTGTAAAAGAATCATCTTTGTTATATCTTGATCTTCATACAAGGTAGTGTGAATTATAATTTGATATTTGATTTGTTTAGCAATTTATGAAAACTTAGAAATGCATCTAATGAATTAATGAATGCCTATTTATATAGCTCACTTGATGTAGATATCTATGTGAAAATCCCTGAAGGATTTTGATTGTTTGAAGTAAAAATTAAATTCTCGAGAAATTTATTCAATTAAATGTTATAGAGTTCTATATAAATTACAAATAATGATATCCATGAAATATTGAAAAATGCCTGAAGCAAGCAAATCGAAACCTTGAGAAATATATTCAATATTTCTATATAGATTAAAGAAATCTCAATACATATTATATAATTGCCTTGATGATGTTTATAGCTAAGAAAATATTATATTATTTTATGATTATATTATTTTTATAATATTTTATTACTGAAAGCATACTTTTGATATTTACTATATACACTATCATGACAAACCTCAGGGACGTTATATATATATGTATAAATGTCGAGGACTACTTAAATAATTATGTAAAACCTCAAGGACGAAATAATAATTTTCCCTATTAATAATAATAAGGTTATAGACGTCAAAAATATCATGTGAAAATCAATTTCCACCGTAGTGCTTTTACAAAATTGGACATCAATGGATGCTAATCAACCATATTTGGCAATGGCGTTTAATGTTATCACCTATTTGCGGTCACCTTTCCTCTACAATAACGGCGGACGGTAAATCAACCCACACGCATATCTGATCTATTGCACCATTATACTTGGACTAGATTCAAACAAATTACCAAAAACCAATACAACAAAAAATGTCATCAAAACTCAAATCATCGCCTCGCCTTCCATTGAAGACGAGACTTATCCTCGCCACATTCTCCTTGGCCACCAGCACCGCTCGCCGATCAAACTACACCATAAACCGCAATTTTATTAAGTTATTTGACCCTAAAGCTCCTTCTTCTGCAAAACCCATTAATGATGTCTCCTCTTTTGATATAACCATAGATCCTAATCACAATCTCTGGTTCCGTCTCTACGTCCCCGCCACCAATTCCTCTAGAAGTACTATATACAGCTTGCCGGTAGTCGTTTACTTCCACGGCGGTGGGTTTTGTTTCTTGGCAGCAGATTCAAAGCAATTCGATCAATTTTGCAGACGACTTGCTAAAGAAATTCCAGCAGTAGTGATTTCCGTTAACTATCGTTTGGCACCAGAGTACAAGTGTCCCAGCCAATACGACGACGGGTTTGACGCATTGAAATTTATTGATTGTATGAATTTTGAAAATTTCTCAACGAAAGTTGATCTCGAATGGTGTTTTATCGCCGGAGATAGCGCCGGCGGGAACGTGGCTCACCACGTGACAGTTAAAGCCGGTGAATATGAGTTTTCTAATTTGGATGTTATTGGGCTCATAGCAATACAACCATTTTTTGGAGGGGAGGAAAGAACGGAATCGGAAATGCGGTTAACCGGAAGTCCGGGTTTATCATTGGATCGTGCGGATTGGTATTGGAAGGCGTTCTTGCCGGAAGAAGCTGACCGGAACCATCCAGCGGTAAATGTTTTTGGACCGAATGGGGCGGATATTTCGGAACTGCATTTCCCGGCGACGCTGGTTTGTGTCGGAGGGTTTGATATATTACAAGATTGGCAAATGAAATATTACGAATGGTTGAAGAAATGTGGGAAAGAAGTGTATTTGGTTGAATATCCAAATGTCATCCATGGATTTTACTGTATGTCAGAATTACCTGAATCTTCTTTGTTGATTAGTGAAATCAGGACGTTTATTAGAAAGCAAACGGCTAGTTCCTAGTCCTTTTTTTTTTTTTTTCCTTTTTTTCTTTTTGTTATTTGTAAAATAGAAATTATTGGTGAGATTTGACTATTAATATAAATTTCTGAATAATATAATTTAAATAAGGGACTTATATTAAAAAATTCTACAACTGCGGAGTCACTAACTGATTGATATACATAGCCTTTTATACATACAGTTACATAGTGAAATAATTATGGAACTAAGGAAAATTCCTTTAGTGCCCTGCGTCGAAGAAACGTATCCTAAATCGAATTAGAGAGAAACTTACTTCCTGAAAAATTAGACAAGATATGTGAGTTTCTATAGGAGTAACTATTATTACACAACACAACCACATTCACACAATTGTGTAACTATAATATAAATCTAGTCGTCTGACTAGTTTATTGCTCACTGCGCCAGTCCACAAAAATTGGCATGTCACAGTATCACAAACAATATCACCTTCAAATCATCAATCACGTGGATTGGTCCTATGGTGTACCGGAAACCCGTGGTGGGGCGGTGCAGTCTCCGTGGTTCGCCACATGGCCCATCCTCTCATAACGTGTGCAAGGGAGCCGATCCCCATTACTGGCCGACCCGGTCCTAATCCTCACCTTGACCAGCCCCTCTTCCCAAAATTGTTTTTCCATTCTCTCTTTTCTTTCCATACCAAGGAGGCAAGCCGGTCGTCTTCAATCAAATCTAGATCCATCAGGCGCTCCACAACAGGAAGGCCACCCTGCGGGCTGCGATTCAAACCTAGATATCAGGTGCGCCAATATAAGAAGCCAACTGTGGTTTTCCCATATCATACAAATCACAACAGTAGGTAACACGAGGCGCCGATCTCCCATTTAACCTCCATGCTTTTTCGACCGTCCTCACAAACCCATGGTGACCCACTTCATCCCAATTCCACACAATCAAAGCACGGCAATATCACAACACAATTAATCAAACATTGCAGTCAAATGCAAACATATTGATCGATTAGACATTATAATGCAATGCGTGATTAAACATCCAAAATCAATGCGGATAGATAAATAAATAATAGTATTGACAATAAACAACAATAATAATAAAATAAATAACGATAATAACAATAAGGATGAAAATAAATAAGTAAATATGTAAATAATGAAATCTATAATAAAGATAATAAATAATCAGAGCACAGATTTATTATGTACCAAAATTATAGAACGTACTTCTAAGTAAACTTATTAATTGATGTGATTTAAATTAAAATTTAGTCTTAGTTTCTGTCAAAATTTCGGCAGCACCTCCCCTAAAATCGACTATCTACCTGCTTACATATCACAATATCATTATCTCTTTCTCATTCAATGCACACAGAGCCTCATCCGTCGGGCAATCAATCAAATTTAAAATCCCATCCTCTTTCATACAACAATATCAAACACTCAACTAAAAATTTACAAACTAATTCTAATAATATCCATATAAGATCATTTATTAATTACATTATTAGCTTTACTGTAACTATTTGTTAAACATGCTAAACATTTTTTGGGTTTACAAACTAATTCTAATAATATCCATATGAGATCATTTATTAAGTCATTAATTAATTAAATTATTAGCTTTACGGTAACTAATTTGTTAAACAGCTAAAACATATTTTAACCATAACTAATTATAACTACTACCTATAAAAATTCAATTTTTTTATATCAATATCGAAAATGGCTAGGCCTCCCAAATCTTAATTTATCGAATTTCGATTCTAGTCGTTAACCAACTAAAATTCGCCTTATTTCTCTTATGCACAATCGGCTAGTTTTAATCTAATGGTTATCTAATTGACTAATTAACTAATTCTAATTTATTCTTTCTCCTCAAATCACCTAATCATAATATTAATCATGTAATTTATTTGACAATGTTCTAAACTAATTTACAATTACATTATTCTAAAGTCCTAAACCAGTTAACAAATTATGTTCGCTATCCAAATACGCACACTAATCAATCTAATTTATTTACAAAAGACCATAAATGTTCATATATTTTTAAGTTAATCCAATAAGTTAATGTCTTGTTATTCAATTTAGTCTAGTTAATAACTCAATTAAATTCATTAATCAATTAATGCTTTATATATAAAAATTGAGAATTAAGTCTTAGAACGTACCCATTGGGAATCGGGCGACGATTCCATGATTAGCGGGAAGAGAAGAGGATTCTGTCTCTCGGGGCCTCGCCGGAGCGCCGCCGGCCGGTCACCTGACCGCCGCCGCCGACCGCCGTGCACGGTGACCGCGTGACGGTGGCCGGTATATATCAATCACCACAAAATTGACAAACAATACATCATTTTATTCGTTTCGATGAGAGGATCACTAATATGTGTTCAAATCAAGGTGGGTGTGAACCAGTTGGCCGGAAATTAATCGGAAAGGTTCGGTGATACCCATTTTGGGTTTTCCGATTCCGGCTATTACAGTCGACGAGGAGGCCATCAAATTAAAGAGGAAGAAGAGAGGAGTCATTTGGTACTCACCTTGCGCCCTTGGCTTGCCTGAAACGGCGTGAATCGCCGGAAAAAGTTGTCCCAAACTTCAAGCTCTTCCCCTTCAAAATAGACACAATTTCAGTTCAAATCTAAGCTATAATCTTCTTCCTCGCGTTGAGTAGATGTTTTTAGAGTAGAGTATTCATTTGCCGAATTTGGTGGCCGGAGGAAGGAGATCGAAGAAGAGGGACGAGGAGGAGGAGGAGGTGGTCACGCTACTGGCTACTTAAGAAGGAGAATGGAAGAAAAAAGAAATAAGAAAAAGAAAGAAAAGAAAAGAAAGTGAAATGGGCCGGTCTCGGTTTCGATTCGGAACTCGGTTTCGGTCCGATTTCCAGTGATTTTGGTCTTCATTTCGTTTTGGTTTCACATGTTAATTGATTTTCTTAGCGTTCCGGTTTTAATTTACTTCTAATTATTTAGTTGGATCAATCAAAAAACATCTCTTCATTACTTTTCTAATAGTACAAAAATAATGATAATAATAAATTAAATTTAGGCTATTAGTTTATATCGTAGATCCTATTATTCATAAAATTTCCGGACAGTCTGTATGGGTCTTGGGCCCAATCAAACAGGTCAAGTACTTGCTCGGTCTTAACAACCCATACTATCCAAAAATTCGAGTTTTTGATTTAATAAAAATTCCAAAGTTTTGAAAATAAAATTTCGGGGTATTTCAATGTAGCACTCTATTAGGTTTCCACTTATGTAACTATCTGTATATATGGCTTTTCATCAATAATAATTACATTATTGTATTCTCCATATTCTCTCTATTCTTTCTTTACTTCTTCCTATTTTTCTATCATTATAGAACAATATGTTATATTTTTTTTAATATTTTTTCCTTATCCTTATCTTTCTTCTAATCAAAATGTTTAAAATTGTAATTAAATATTATAAATATTTTTTGAAGATAAAATTTTTTAATTAACTATGACTAAAGTTATTTTAAAATATTTTAAATTTCATTAAGGACTGTCGGAAATTCTATTATTCACTTTCTATTCTCATATTTATATATCGTATATATTATTATAAGTTAAGTATGGTTATAATTCTTCTCTTATATTATCTAGATATTTATAATGTTAAAACATGATTTTATATGTAACAACTTTGTAACAACTTTAAATTAAAATTTATCTCTACTTAAATAATATTCATATTAAAGTGAATAATATTATAATTAAATTAATTTTAATATGATAGGACAACATTAAAAATTAAGTATATTTCATAAAATAATTATAGATGATAAAATGAAAGATTATTATTAATTATAAGATTAAACTTCAATTGTTTTTGAAAATGATAAAATTAGACTTCAATTAGCACGTACGATTTCTTTTTTAGCATTCCAGTCATTTTTACGCAATCAAAGGAGGAATAACATAATAAATAAACATACATACATTTAAATTAAGTAACTTTAATACATTATTATTGAAACAACCCGAATTTATATTTTCAAAGATTTTCCAATTAAATCTAATGTACCGACAGCCTAGAAATTAATATTAATATTTTAGTGTGAATACTGGTTGTGAATACTGTGAGAAATCAAAGCCGAAAACGATTGAAAAAGCCGAAAAACACATGTTATAAAATCGAGATTTAGGCCGAACCGAACCGGTTCGACCCAAACCAATCTAAAAGCTCTTCTCCCTCTATATCCAGACACGCTCATCTCTCCTCACTCACTCCCTACGCCTCCGTAGCCGCACCAGCAACACCACAGCGCCCCCACTCCTCCTCTCCTCCTCTTTCTTCTTCTTCTTCTTCTTTCCTTCTTTCTCCTTCTTCTTCTTCCTTTTCCCTTCCCTCTTTCCCCTTCTTCCTCATGCGGCCTGTGTCCCTGGCGAGACAGCCAGCAGCTCACGCCTCCCACGTCGCGCGCCACTGCCAGCAGCTCCGCCCTCTGCCAGATCGCTCAGCGCACGGCAGCAGCACAGCCTTCACTTGGTCGCGCCACCACCGTGCCTGCTGCTCCGCTTCTCTCCACGCCGCCAGCCCCATTTCCGGTTAATCGCATTCCGACAACACTATAAATTTGGGTAAAATTTTAAGATTTGTGAATGAAATTAGCTGATTTATTTAGTTAAGTTAGTTTTAGTGAATAAAAGTAATGGTTTGTAGTTAATTCAGTTAGTCAAGTTAGTGTTAGTGTTAGTTAGTGTTAGTGTTAGTAATTTAGTGTTAGTAATTAAATTAGTTAAGTTAGTTGTAGTTATTGTTTTATAGCTCAGTTTTAAATTAATTAAGCTAGTGTAGTAAATATTAGTCAATTAAATTAATTTTATTATTTATTTGAAGTTAATTAATTTAGTAATATTAGATAATGAAATTAATGTTATTATCATTTGTAATTAATTAATCTAGCTAAGTTAATGTTAGTTAATTAAAGTAATCTTATTATTTGTAGTTAATTAATGTAGTTAATTTAAATTGGTAAATGTGAGTAGTTAATAGCTTTATAATTTTATTGTTGATTTAGTTAAGGTAGTTTAGATATAATGTATTGTAATGTATAATTTTAATTGTGTGGTGATGTTGAAGAT